GTCGTCTCAAAGCGGTTCACAAATTATTACCCGTGGTTATAGGGCCAATATCTTACTCAACGCCCTTGGGAGCTGCCATTTCGGCGCTCACAGCTAACATTCGACAATTCTAGTCACGCCCAACCACGTGCTCATTTACAGCGGAGTAGACTGGAACAAGCGAAGTGAAGTATCTTGCTCAAAGATACAACACAATGCCGTGCCGTGACTCGAACCTACAACCCTTCGGTCACGAGCCCGGCGTCCTACCACTAGACTACCGTGCCTCCTAAATGTGATAGATAATAAGGTATTTTTTATTTTAATATATTGGATACGGTTTGAGGTTGAGTTGTTGACAAACAATAAAAATTTGCCCAGACCGTTTAAATATCAGCCAGCCCCCGATCTTATTTGAATTGCTGTATGTTCCCATCCAATCAGAAAAAAATTAGAAAATTTGATAAAGCAGATGTGATCTATGTCATTAAGTATGATTGGCATGGTAATAATGGTGATTTTAACCAATAATTGTTCTTAGTTAGGACACTTGTGCGATAAAATGGATAAAGTATATTGAATGTAGTCAATAACATCGTTGAAGAGCTGTCACAATAATGTGAGTTAACAGCGCATTAGAGGAAATAGGAAATAATTCATTCTACATTAATTTAAATCCGTTCCTGAAGTTGTTCACTTTATCTCCTGTCGTGTCGTCGCTCCAGTACAAACTTCTCCCTAGTTCCCCATTTTTCAGCATTGTATCTGCTATTCAAGGTCACTCTTCCATTTTCAGTTTGGCTTTATTAACGTAGCACATGAGTGCTTTATTGTCTTTTTATACCTTCATGCAATTATAGAATTTACAGTTAAGTTCCAGCATTTGGTGCGTGCAGTTTCAACGTCATGAAAAACACATCGCAGTATTTTACAGACATACTTAAGTGTATGCCATCCAGCAGCATCATTTAGAAGGGATAACCTTGGTGTCACGTTTACAATCTCGTTAGAATACGTGCATTCAATCCAACAGAGCATTAAATTTAAAAAAAAACTATCTACATGATTAACGATAGTCGTTTGCTGGGAGACCTTGGTTCTGAGAAACACGAATCTAAAAGCTGCAATATCTTTTAAAAAACATTTAAGTTTAATTTATGATGAAAATGCATTGCCTTTTAAAAAACATTTTATATTTTGGTTATCAATAATTGTTCGATGACGTCACCATATTTTCTTTAGACAATATAATCATCCGCAGTGTAGATACATTTTGTATGAAAATTGACATTATAGGAGATATCCGAATGCTATAGTGACGTTAAGAAGATGTGAATATTCTATGCGAGTAACATAAAATAAACTGACGAAATTCTGTTAATAGTTATATAATAGAAGACATTTGGATAATGTACATAAGTGCATTATAGAAAATGTCGATATTCCATTGATAGCAACATTATTGAACATCCCGATATTGAACAAATTCCGTACCTCAATGTTATTTTCCCCGTTTGTTTAATTTGGAACTAACCCTCTGTCGATTGATTGCTAAAGATAGAGTTGTTTACTTAAGGACTTTTACGTCTCATCTTCGTGTATGAATTAATTAACAAGTTACGGACGACATTAATTCTACGAACGTATGGGAGTGTGACATTTGTGAAGCTATCATCGACAGGGAATGCTATATTCATTTTGTATTTCAGAATATTTTTTTTATGTTCATTACTGCCTTAAACACACCGTTCGTTATGTGTCAAGGTCAGTCATTTAATCTAAATATGTCTGTACATCCTCGATTCTCTGATAGAGCATTAATCGAAGGTAATTCAAAACCACAAAGGATGAAATCCCTCTTTTGAGGAGGTTATTTTGTCGACAATATTCACTTGTTCAAGTATAACTGTTTAAAAACGTTTTCCCCAAACGTGATCTTGCAAGGAAAAAGCAGTTAATCTTGACTTTAACGATGTTGCTCTTTGCCAATTAAACTTAAGTATGTTGGATAGATTTAACGCAATATATTAACTATAATGGTTTACCTCTTATATTAGTGGGCTTAATTGGGCGCTGCTATAACTTTGGATGCAATGACTAAGTCAGAGCAATTAAATAGAAAATGGCTAATGGGAGGCAAACGAGACCCTCATCGCCAATACACAGACAAACAAACACACACATCACAATTGGTCTGATAGTGTTTTTGTCTCCTACAGATAACTTCCAAGCATTACTAGTTGTGTCTTTTAATAAAATTACATTCTGACCAGTATGATTTCAAACCTTCACTGGATATGTCTTTGACTCCCGGGGATATCAAATATTGACCTGGCCAGCCTCCTATCACAACTGGTATTCCTCATGTCTTCTACAAATATCAAATCTTGTCTTGTACGACTTCTCAAATTAACTGGTTGTGTCTATGTCACCTTATAAAATTACATCTTGACAAGTCTGATCTCGAAGCACAGCTTGCTGTGTCTTTTCCCAGTGACATCAAATCCTGACCAGTCCTACTTTCAAAGCTAACTGAATTTCATTTGCCTTAGTCAAACGTCCTGTTAAACGGCTAAGGTCTAACGATGTATAGGTGTGGGTTGGAGGCGGTTTGTTCTTGTATTTGCTCCCTTGTAATCCTACCGATCTGATGCCGACTTTATGAGTGCTCCTTCATAGAAATAACATGGCGAAGACACCCAGCACAGTATTCCGATCGGTCCCATTGTACGGACGACGGGACATAATAACTTGGGTTTGTTTCGGTCAGGTGACAAAACCCTTATCTTTTCTCGCTTTGGCGAACGCTTAACAGTTCAAAAGCGAGGTATTGCCGATAAAGGCGTTAGAAAACGAAAAAGTAGTTAGAAAGGAGAGAAAATATAAAAATCCCAAATGTTGAAATGGATTAAACGTATATATTTGAGCCTCTTTTGTATTCCAAATTAAAGGGCACGTAAACACTCTCAATTTTGAATGGTTTCCCACATTCGTCGCCTCTGGTGAATTATGCAGTTGTTTTTTCAAAATTTTGGTTTGTTTGGTTTTATTTTGTTTAACGTCCTATTAACAGCTTAGGTAATATTAGGACGGCCTCCCCTGTGTGCAAGATGCATGCGTGTAATGCATGTGTGTGTATTTTGGGAGGCTGCGATATGTTCGTGTTGTCTCCTTGTGATAGCGCGGAGCTTATGCCGACGTTATAGTGCTACCTCACTGAAACATACTGCCGAAGACACCCAGCAGGACGCCCCTCCCGGTCACATTATACTGACAAAGGGCCAACCAGTCGTCCCACACCTAATTTGCTGAAGTACGAGTAGAAACTCCCATTTTTAAAGACTTTGGTATGTCTCGGTCGGTCAGGGGACAGAACCCAAAACCTTCCTCAATGGGACGGACGCTCAACAAATGGCCAAAAGTGAGGCATTGTCAAGGGGACATTAGGATGAAGAAAGTTATTTAGAAAGGAGAGAATGGATAAGGTCCCAAATTTAGTCGCCTCTTACGATCATGCACTTTGGGGCAGCAGGTACAATTCTTACGCCCTACCTGCAGGAAGGTTTTTCAAAATCTCGATCTTTCTGAAATCCTATAAGAAGCACTTACAAAAGAAAGACAGTGATGTGATGGGTGGAGCTGGTTTCTTTTAGTCACTTTTGCGTCTCAAAAAAAGGGCATATAATCAAATCTGCAATTTTCCTAGGCGGTTTCCACATTACTCCCTTAATGCAAATCATGCAATGGTACTTGGAGATATAGTCTCTATTAATCCTGACCTTAAGGGATACATTTTAGCGACTGTGCCGTTATCTCCTAGTTGCTTTGACTGTTGACTAATCCGATTGCCTGACACAACAAGACGTGTCTTCCTTTCTAAACAACAATAAAACTTGACATGTCTGACTTACTAACAAATTGATTTTGTCTTTGTTTCCTTATAGAATTTCATCTTAACCAGCCTGGTTTTATAGCAAAACTGATAGTGTCTTTGTCTCCTGGTGTCACTAAATCTTAACCATTCTGGTTATTCTCTTTGCTTCCTTTTGTAACAAGTGAATATGGCAGGTTTTGTTGTCTTCCTAATCTCTTGATGATTTATTCCATCCAACTTCATTCACTTCCTTAATATTTAAGATTGTGATTGAAATATTCAAACCCAATGGTACAAATCTTAAATATAATTATTTTAGACTCATAAGTCGTCCGAGACAAATATCCCATACAAATCCTTGAGAAATTCGTTATCGAGACATGTCTCAAAAAGCACCCGATGTCAACAACACCGATACTATTAAGGTCATCAAGAATAGGACAGTATCTGTTTGTAGTCGTTAATAGAACAGTTACCATACAGCCGCTTGCTATTTATTGGAATGACCCAGCGATTTGATTAAAATGATATCGGAATTGTACAGGTTCATGCGGATATTTCGATACACGTATATGTCATCACTGGGATTGCAATTTTACCGAAAATTGATGTAAACCCTTAAATTATGTAATATTACTCTAAACATGTTAGGTTAGGTACACGTATTACTATACTGTAAGACGTTCTCTAGTCCCCGTGACAAATCATCTCTTCAAATTAAATCCTTTAAGAGCAAAACTGAAAACTGTCTCACTTCGTGAAATCTTCTAGTTGTAGTCAAATCGTACATAAAAAAAGAAAAAAAAGATGATATACAGTAAATAATAGTTCGTAATGAAATATTTTATATGTCCTTATTCTTACTATTCCTCTACTTCTTCCCCTTCCTTCTTCTAATTACCTTTTCTATCCCATACTGCATGCATGATTCCTCCTCTCATTCCCTCCCCCTTCCCATATCCCTCTTCAATTTATATCAGTCCTCTCCGCTGCACACATGACTTAAGTTTAAACACACAAACCGTCACTGAAGCGGTCAATGTTTACACTTGAGAGCGTGTCAATTTGTTTAGCGCTTCTCGTCATGTTTCGTGTACACAGTACTGTATTGACATTCAGTCATTTAGTCATTCGATGGCCGTGGCATACTACCACACTCTCGTTTTAATGTTCGTATCGGAGCGGGTAGTACAAAAATAAGGATATCCGTCCCTTAGCCTAGTAAGCTGGTGTCTAGTGATATAGCTGGGATCGAAACAGTAATCATTATCTTATTTTTATCGCTTTGTCGTGAATCTGTAATCGCATCTACAGAACGGATTTGATGGATTGTATTTCGGTATTGACATTTTAATGACAACATTGAAAAATAGAGGAAAAATAATGTTTTGATCAATAGCTACAATACAAAATCGCTGAAAAAAAACTATAATTTCCGGGAGGAGCTGTTTGACGGGATATGTAATTAGATCATATAAAACGATTAAAAGCGTCTTCGTTGAGCTTTCGGACGCTGATGGAATTTTGATTCCATGAATTACCCAGGAAATGAGCCGTATCGTGGATGTGATGTCTTTAATGAACGTTCAAGACAGTATCTGGCATTGAGTTAGTAATAAAACAGGATTCATTTTATGGATTTTAAGATTGTCCATGAATTTAACATTTAAACCAAAAATACGGACGAGAGGAAGATGTGAATAACGCTCTGTGATGATGTTATGAAAAAGACGACGAATGAGAGAAAAGTTCCAAAGACTTCATCACTTTTAATTATTCTTTCGTTTAAGATGGCGGTTTCGGATAATGATCCGACAATGAGGTAAAAATTTAGTCGAGAACCGACCGTACACACTGAAGCATGCGTTATTGTCACAATGCTTATCTCAATACAGCTCGTGCTTGGGATTGTAGCGATCAGCCTTCCCGTTATCCAAACGGTGGACCTCAGTTGTGACGAGAATGATATCTGCCAAGGAGAAGGTCCCATTCCCGAGAGGTCGTGTTGTAAAGGACTCGGAGGGGCCGAGTGTAGCCCCGGACACGCGGATTGTAATGAATTACTTGGATACGAGTGTTCAAGTCCGGAACATCGGCCAGCGTTTTGTACAGGTAAGATTAGGTTTGTGTTAAACCACAGCAATGATGCTGCACATTTTGTATTTTTGTTTAACAAAAATCGTTTAGTTTTAAAGTTATAATCACCAGCGAATGTTAAAAGGATATAAACAAAAAACATGTTTGCTGCATGTGTTGATTCCGGGATAAGAAAATAGTATTGCTGTTTGTTTAAAGTAGAGGGTAAAGTTAATAGGATTGTCACTTGTTTAACTTAAGAGTCATAAAAAGAAACCTAATATGTGTACATTTCTCTCTCCATTTATAGGGTAATTCGTCATACGATATAATCGCATAACAAATGAGAAAACTCTTTCGTACAATTAAAATGTGACCAAATAATCATAGATATGAAATATTTATATTTTTGTTTAATATGTCACAAAGAACTTCACTTTATCCACGCAGACAGTATCTAAAATTTCAATCAGAAAGCTAACCACCATTCTTACGAATTTCTACCACGTGATAGTAAACAATAGATCATATATGTGCTCTTCTCTCCTACCATAAGGCTACATAATCCGAGTGTTATAAGGGGGACTATTGTTCACACTCCCCAACAATTATTATAAATCATATTGTGATGTTAATGTTAATCCTTCATTTTAAACACAGTTGGATGTTTATATAAACGGATCACCGAGGTTGTTCAGGTATCACTTTTCAAAACAAATAAACTCGAATGACAAAAAATATACAAATCGATTTCATTTGATGCTCTGCACTCCTGTATTGCAACACCATAAAACTTTATGTGACGTTCGAAAGGAAACCATGCAATATAGTCTTTTTTGAAGTATAGTAAGTACAATTTATGATTAGTTTGTACTAAATACCCCTACGTTTGTAGGATTTCTGTTATATATTTAACACTCTAAATAACACTGAGAAATGATTCAGCGTAACCCGAGTTTCATCAATCTGTCTTCAGTGTGTCATTAATCAGTGAACCAAGTTACCATTCAAAACGATTTTTTTGTATGTGCCATGTTCGCAAGACAATAAAGGGATGCTAACCAAACATAAACAATGTTATGTGAGGGCTGTCTTGTGATCTCTTTGTAAAGATGCTGGTCATAGTACATCTTATCAATGGTGAGCTCTACCTCTATGCGTTTCTCGTATTATGAGGACGAGCCTGCATATTGAGATGGTTTTTACTGTAAGATAGTTCATATTCTCAACGAAATTGTATAGCGTTGGGCAACTATCTCTTTAATGATGTACCTAGTATGAAAAAACGAGGATGCTTCTTCTGCTGTTTGTGAAAGAATCGATTTATGTCCAATATCTGTTATGATAGTGTGAATTTCATACCAGAGCATCACCCAGTCTTGCGTTTTATCTGCTGCTCTCTGTAATAGTCTAGCCATGCAGTGGTGTGCCTAGGGCTTCCACGCGCACTGAAACGTCTGCTGGAAACCAAGAAGCACGTAGCATAATATGTTTACAGAGGGGAAAAAAAGCGTGCTTCTGTAGTATTTTGTAAAAATCCATAATGTTTATGATGTTTTGTTCCTTGAGGTGCAACTACAAAGTCTCCTGCACCTCAAACACTCTCATCCGTACAACTCTGTCAGAAAACGTATCAGAAAAAAATTATACAGTCAGAAATCCATGTTATCTTATCAATATCATACAACGGCATTGCCAGAATTACTGGAACGCCAAAAGTTGAAGACTAGATGCAACATCATTTTGATATACATGTATTCACATACTTGGCATGCCATCTTTAAGGACAATCTTCGATAGAATGACAAAAATGGTGTATCAGACAATGATACATGCATCTCATTTCTAAAACAGATTTAGAAAAAGGTTAAGTATCTTTTTATGAATAAAAAGTTGCATTTGGCTGGGAAATCACTGACATTTGAAAAATCTGTCTTGATTACACTCCAATGTTCCTTGAAGGGGCATCACGCTGAAACAACTATTTTTTTTTGTCTTTTTTTCAAATACTACATAAACATATCAAGGGAGACTCCTTATGGAAAATAACGATCGGAGTTGGCTGAAATAGATTCATAAAAATGATTAAATCTAAGATAATCATCGGTATTTCTACCTGTCTGACCAACGTTTTGTTCAGGGATTTCCCTCTACTAGCGCATGTGCATTGCACACCATTTCTTTCTAAACATATGACTGGCCGTGTGAAGTAAGCCAAAGTAAAGTGTTGTAACGTGTCAGATACGAAGCGAAAAGTTGCCAAATGGTCAAAAGATAGCGCAAGGAGTTCGTTACGGAATCATTATTACAGATGGGAAGTATTCAAAGGAGAAAATAACTGCCCTAGCAGTTAGTACGGTGCATGTATTCTTCCGGATAGCCGGTTAAGCTGAAATGGAATAGACAGAAATGCAAGCGCTGTTTATGTTATGAATGAATATCTAAAACTATTAACCTCACTAGTATACACTTTGCCTGAGTTTGAACACAGATGAACTTAGTTTAATATGTCAATGGGCATGTATCGGAGAGAAATTACTTTGTGTTTCTATAATTATACAGTGGTTTATGCGAAATGAAGGGATAAGTGACTGGTTAGTTTGATTTTGTCATGAGGCCTTCCAAGGGTTAACTGTTGTGATAGCCACGGCGTTTTCTGTCTCTGTCGGTACTCGTGATCGGGGTCAAATGATGAGATACGTGCGCTTTTAGATTTACATAAATTATAATATTACTGGGTTCAGTAAAATGGTATGATTTAATTATATTGCTGAATTAAACGATTTTTTGTTTGTTTTTACATACAATATTTAAATTAGTACTAATATGAATACCCGGCTTCCTCTGGCGCAAAGACGCAATATATATAAAAATATCTCTCGTCGTCAGAAAGCTACATTATCGCAGCCAGATTAAAAATGTCAAAATGACGGGCCAGAATGAATAACTGAGGAAGGAGAATCTACTTCTAGTACTTCGCGTAACATTTTTTTTTAAATCGTAATATTTCAACGGTTTATGTTTTCATATGTTGTTGTCTTAGAATGTATGATCATGTAACAACCTTTTCTCTATAAAGAATTAATTTTCAACTTCAGATAGAATCGGAATACGTATTGAAAACAGGGGAAGAAACATTTATTTACGTTGTAAATATGACGCGTGCTGCCGATAACTACGGCTTCTGTTTCGGACAAAAATGAAATGATTAAAGAAAAGTTGGCTCAACATAAAAAGGGTCCATTGACAAGAATGCGTTAATCTATGAAAAGTGTTGAAAAATTATAATTATCAAGTAGCTCAACACGTCCCATATCTGACACATATTCTACATGTACACATAGTGGTTTTGCCATACAGTTTAGTGTGTGTGATGGCTAATATGACTTACTAAGTGTTAGCGTATGGAGTTAGTGAAAGTGGAAAAGAGAGTATGCATACATTTTTATGCATGGTATAGAAAAACAATTGGCCAAAGATATTGAGTTGTACAATGTAATAAAAAAATCACAAACGTTTCTCTTTGTTATACGCGTGTAGTTTGTCATTGCATATATGCACCTTATGAAATTATTTGAAAAGGGATATTCGTCTCGTGAATATTTCTTTTTACAGAAAGGTTTGTCCTATGGTTGAAGAAAGGTGTTTAGCCCCGTACAGATATCACATTCCGGTACTAAATTCAATATTATACAATTATGGACTTTTGTGCTGGTGAATATGATGTGATATGAACCTGGAAGAGTGATATTGACTGAGGCGAAGCCTTTAATAAGCAATAAAATGTTCAAGTATGGGCTTGAGGGATATAGCATGTTTCTTGATCCCCGATACCAGAAACCGTTCTCATGCTAAAGCATGGATTTTCGCTCAAACCCAATTTCTTGTTCTGGTTACAATCTTATTTTGTCAAATATTTTGCCAAGACTTAAAACTTGACAAGACTTTAAGCCAAAAACTGTTTTCAATGTTTATATTTGATCTTATGATCATTTGACATGATTTTGGGTTTGAGCACACATTCCAAGCTGGAGCATGAGAACGGTTCCATGAATACGAACCTGGAAACTAACGCGAGAGGAGTAAAGTCTGGGAGTGTTTCTCGGACTAACGCTTATAGATTACCTACTCCATTGACAGCACAGTCAAGGAAAGAGCAAGAATAAAATCGATTACTTTTATATACACTGTATAAGATAGGAGATCATTAAATGTCATCAATCGGGAGATTTAGTGGAAATGACTTACCGCTAATCACATCTACACTGTGTGAAGTCGTAAAACATTGTGAGGTTGTAAATAAAACTTGAAAAAAAATATTGCAAACAGATTGGAGATTGGAGATCTTTGCCCTATTAACGTACATCGAGTGAAACGTTCTCAACATGGATATGGTGGTAAGAAAGGGTATACACATTGTAGCTCAGGTTATAAGGTATACGATTAAAGATGTAGTTCTATCATTGCGTTTAAAAAATTGGTACTGATTGTCTGGAAAATATGAGCTAAACTAGATCTTAAGAGATATTTTACATCAACAGACACCTTACTTGTTATATATTTCATGATATCATTCTTGATAAAACTGAAAAGTACAAATGCTTACTTAATGCTACCTCAGTAATATGTCAAGTATCTAAACTTTATGTTAGGTGCTAGATTTGGTACACAGCCAGAAAAAACATAGGGAGAAGGTACATTTAGGCAAGAGTACTGGCTTTCTCTTCGGCGGCCAGCTTGTGATTCGTTATATGTTTTTTTCATCTATAAAAAACCAAATTTGACACATAAGTGAATAAAGTGAAACAAGAGGACGTATTTAATTCAGGGTATGTGGTAATGGAAAAATCATTGATTTTTTAACACTTTAAAGATACTTAAGCAAAAACAATAAGACAAAACATTAATACATTTTCTTATTATGCAATGCAGTTAATGTATTTCTCCACACGTTGGTATAAAAACAGGTAAAATTTACGTAAATCTATCAAAAAAGTCCTCTTACAAAATGGACGTATTTATACAGTTCATTCAAA